TCTGATAGTCCTAAAAAGTACTTCTGCCACTATGATCTGACTCATGAGGGATCGTTTTCAACTGTTCAATCGCTTTTGAGTTTGGACTCTGTGCATTAGATTTTAAGACGCATGATTGGTTAAGCGCTTGAATAAAAAAAAAGGAACTGAATTTGTATTTGATCGTACATCTATCTATTGGATTGTGTCAATAAGGTACGTATAAATGTGAACAAATAACTATTTGCGTATTACAATAGATATTGAGCTATAGATGAGAAACGTCCCCTTACAGTTATATGATGAGAAGCGCATTCAATAGTTTACAATTATGTTTGGAGAATAACGATATTCCCAAGAGTGTAACATTTTTACATACAAATAGAGTCATATATGCTGTGGATAGCCTTCACATTGATGATTGTGTTCATACTCACAAATTAAGAACTAGACTTATGGGCGTCAAATGAAAATATATAGCTCGGTTTTTCTTTTTTTCTTCTTTGTTTTTACACAACATATTCATTTTTTTTCATGCATTTTTGATGATACGAAAATGTATGAATCTAATAAATGCACCCTCACTCCCGAAGAATTTCCAGATCGAATTGTTCTATGATTCTTGTACGATAATCAACATGACATTCGAATTCAATGTGGACAGAGATTACATGGACTTACACACCCACACCCAAACATCATTATCAAAGAATTCACTATTTGCTAAAATCGTCATGTGTTTATATTTAGAATAGATAATCCATGGATTTGGGAAACGTTAATTATAATCAATGATCTTGCAGTAGAGCATTAGTGAAAAATGATTGAGTTGAAAAAGATAAGCCATCAGTCATCAAAAAAATATTGTCATTTGATTTCTCACAAACAAAAGATATACTAAATTAGATGATTTGTGATATTAGTTATCATCGATCTAGCTGACAGAGACTGTACATTGTTGACAATTAATAATTTGACAAATAAAACCATTGATCAACTCAAAACACTAAATATTGTAAGATCGAGACCTTCGTAACCGTAACACAAATACTATTATCGCCGTTATTACCACCGTCGTCATCACCACACTTATCGTTATAAATATCACCGCTAATGGTTTCCAATTCCTTTCGTTGTTGTTCTGTTCTGGATTATTATATATACAAGTGATAGTAGTTACACGTCTCTCGCATCTAGACATTAAACTCTCTATGTCCGATCCTGAACAATGGTCACTCACATAGTTGACAAGTGAACCGTTCTCTATTACAGTGCAACTTCCGCCACCATCCAAATTGATGGCATTTATAGCGCCTAGTTGAATCATTAGTTGAGCCATTTCATGTAAATTCGGACCCTTTTTATGCGCTGCTTCTCCATCCATGGCCAATATCATGATACGACCGACTGAATCGTGACCTAGAGCAATACGTCCTGCTCTTACTGTAACAAAAGTCGGTCCAGTTTCCTGTGTTGTCATATCTTCTAAAGTTTCACTAACATTGACATAAGATAATCCGTTCCTAACCCATGTCGTCCTTTTTTTTCTAGTAGCGCCGCTATAACGCAAAAACGCCTTATTGTGGCGTTGTTCGGCACTATAGCGACAATAATCATCGTAATATGTTCGAACGTTCTTCACGCCGGAATAACGCGGAAAATCGGTGCTATTCTCATACTGTTTTAATTCTGAAAATTTCTTTTCAAAGCATATATAAAAACGTATATTCAAACAGGAATTGATATGATTGATCGAAATATTCTATATGATTCATCGAATGTTAATATTATATTATTGAAGATACTTTTACTCTTGCTACAGTATACTATATAACTCTTTTTTTTTTGCTTCAAAATCAAATGTATTGGTTCTCATATAAAGTAAATAAACGACGCCGTAATCGAGAGATGAAGCGTCAGTCTATTTATCAATTAATTGCTCGACATATTAGCTCTTCGAATGACAACTTGGATGATGGTCACAATGAATACTGCCTACAAGAACAAAATATAAATCAGGAAAAACTTGAATCAACATTTGACAAGAAGAATGATGATAATTATATTTCACCTGCATCACAAAAAGTTTATGTTGAGGATGATAATGAATGGAATGATGATGAGGATGATGACCAATATGAGGATGATTCTCGCTTATTGTACAATGGTTCCTCAATTACTGTTAGCAGTGCTATTCGTCTTATTAGTAAGTTTTATTTAAATATCAATTTAGATAAGCAGAAAATCAATGGTCTTCTTCGTCTGATTAAATCTTTATTGCCAAAACCAAATCTTTTACCTTCTACGTGGAAAACTGTGAACAAAGCACTTCGAAATTTTACACCCAGTTTAACAACTTATCTTTGCACTGATTGTTATAAATCATGCGATATTAATACTAATCGCTTCAAGTTTTGTGTTAATTTAAATTGCAAAACTTCTTTTAGACAACGTCGCAGTTATGAACTTATTGAAATTGTTCGATTTGATATTCGAAGTCAGATACAATCGATTATGTGTCGAAATTTTGATTTTCTAAACAAATCTCATCTTTTTCCACCAAGTGATATTTGTTTTGGTGAATGGTATCAGCAACAATCGAATACAAATGCCAACAAAATTACATTATTAGTTCATACCGATGGTGCTCCTCTCATTCGTTCATCAAAACAATCAATATGGCCATGCTTTGCATCTATCACAGAACTTCCTCCACCAATAAGAGAATTCCAATCAAACATCATTATACTTGCTTTATGGGTATCGAAAATGAAACCGAACGTTAATACATTTTTAGATCAAACAGTAAATGATTTATCACTTTTAATTAAAAATGGAACTTCAATATTTATTGATGATCACGAATATAATATTCAACTTGGTACTCAACTTTTTCTTTCTGATCTACCTGCAAAATCACTCTTTTGTTGCACAACAAGTTTCAATGGATATTCAGCATGCACTTTCTGTTATAGTAGAGGTAAATTGCTGTTCTTTTTACGATTACAACAATATTTTACTTTCTATTGTAGATTAAAGTACTTAAATGACATTAATTTTAACCAGGAAAAACTTCGTAAAATCCTAATATTCATAAATTATTGAGTATTAATCATAGCTTTTTTTGTATCAGATAGATTATAATACAGCTTGATTTTCGATTTTTGTGACAATCGATAACAGCAGTTTCATGTTATATCTTTACTGAATATAGGACAAAATATTTAGGATTGATCATAATAATTTATTTAAATTTCATTATTGAAAAGAATTAATTCTTTCTAATTTTTTAACTTATTTTGTTTGTTTTTTCATTCTAGTTCGTTATTCTTCTATCGTTCTAGGCATATGGAATCCAAAATATAATAAAATGCTTTATCCTTATTCGAACAATGATTATACAGCTCGTACTCATGACGGTTATTTGAAATCTGCTCGAGAAGCTGTTAAAAAATCAAAAGGTCATAAAAAAGTAGCAGTTGATGGTATAAAAGGTCTGTCATATTTATTTGAAATATTTTGTTATCCAGATCAAATTATATATGACTATATGCACCTTGTGTGTCTATGTCATATCCCATCTTTGATAAGCCGATGGTGCTCATGTATTAACAAGTTGTCAATACTAAATATTGACAAAAAACTTCAACGATTACGTACTCCACACAATATAAAAGCTGTTTTTTTAGAATCGATTAAATTAGCATCTCAATGGAAAGCAAAAAATTCACGTTTATTTGTACTATATGTTGGAGTACCAATAATGGCTAATCATTTACCAACACTTCTTTTCTCTCATTTTATTATATATTCATTAGCAATTAAACTCCTACATGCACCTCAATCAAAAGAAGATATATTACTTGGTGAACGTCTTCTCGATTACTATTGTCGAACAGCATCAAATGTCTATGATTCTTCTATTGAAATTTTTTCTTTACATGCACATTTACATCTTGGTCATCAAGTTCGTCTACATGGTGGCTTAGCACATACATCAGCATTTTCTTTTGAGTCAGCCATCCGTTATATCAAAAAAAGTGCTCATGGTAGCACTAATGTTGCTAGTCAAATTGCATATTGGAATAATCTTCGATGTACAACACAAATGAAAAAATTTAATTTAGTAACAAATTCTCTTATGGATGTGAGTGAAGAAAATGGAAATATTTATAACGTGTGACAGTTATAACTATAAATCATTATTTGCTCCCGTCGACAAGAAAAAAGAAAAGCACCTTACTAGTGGAGAACGACAAATGATATTCTCTCTCTCTTTCTTATAATGACTGACACTCTGAATATTCTTTCTCTTTTAAATACAGAATAGACGGCAGATTAAGCTATGATAATTGTTTATGTGTTCATTTTTATTTTTCTTTGTTGAATGATCGACATGTCTTATCGATATATTTTCATTTCTCTGTTCTTATAGAAGATAAATTCAGACGATCCTGCACTTGTCCAATATCTTCCCATGCTACGTCAATTACTAACTTCTATTAATGTAAACAACATTACGTGTTTTTATAAACGTTACAAATCTGTATTTATTACATATCATTCATTAATTTATGATCGTCCATTTAGTTGCAATAGTCACACAGTATCTTATGTTGACAATGATAACAACAACGTAACTCATTATGGTAACATAGTTATATTTTTATTAATTAATGATGGAACTTTTGCTCTTATACAAAAATATGTTTCTTGTGAGAAAAAAATGTCAAATAATGTTGAGTTACCCAACGAATTACACAAATTAATAGACACTTATTATCCGCTCGTGTCTTTTTCAAACAATTTCTTCATAATTCCAGTGACTAATATTCGTCACAAATGTATTTGTGTTCCGATTTTTGATGCATTCTGTATATCAGAAATAAGAATCGATTATGAACACGATTGACTATATTCAACGATCTTCGTAATCATTTAGTATTCAAGTCTCTAACCTTCATCAACTTATAGGTACTTATTCATCACACATATATTGACTTTTGTTTCAGATAATAATAATGAATGAAAGAAATACATCTACTAGAAGTTGTACATTAAATCGTAGAGCAGTGGAACGTTCTGAAGTGTATCATGTAGTTATTTTCCCATGTGATAATTCATTTTCTGTTGTTAAATCAAAACAATGTTCACCAGCTGAGCAAGATGGTTTTGTTTTTGTACAATCTGGCCATAAAAAATATATGGCATTTATTTTTGAGACAGGTAAAATGGAAATTGACCATCGAAATATAACTAAGTTATTCTTCAATTTAGGCAATTTTGAGATATGTAGTAAAGCTGCTGATCGTCTTGTGCAAAAACAACACGAAGACATCGAAAGCGATTACGAACGAAGAAACGAAAATACACAATCAAAAGACATCACTTCAAATACATCAGGTACGTGCTATTTTTTATACTAAAAGTTTACTTTATATTTTGTTAGAAAAACCAACATATACTACTCTAAAGGATGTACCGTTCTCTATTGACGTACCTGTTAATGTTATTCACAATGATTCACCTCGTCAAACTGTTTCAAATTTAAGTAAGTGTAAATAAGAAATTTTGACTTTTGTTTAAATTTTCGAATTATCCACTAGACACAGTACAGATGAGAGAAATGATAAATTTTAGTCATTTCATTCGTGAGAAATAATTTTCGAGTTCCTCTTAAATTTTTTAGATATGATTAACGGAATGACTCCAACTCGAGCAAAGAATGGTAGTGGAAGTACAATAATAAATAAGGGTTCGTTCTATGTTTTCATAAAAATATTAACTTTTCTTTAAAATTAAGGATGGCAACGAACACGACATGAAAGTTGTCCAAAAGTTACTACAAATCCAAACGCAACTGATATAACAGGCAAATCCTTGTTTTTTATTGAAATTCTTTTTTTTATGCATTTACTAATATTTAGCAACAACAACCACCACTGCGACCTCTATTAATTCGAATAACTCGTCTTCATCACCGTCAATTAGAGAAACAAGTTTAGTTACCAAAAAAAAAATCGTCAACAGTGAATTCGTCATCAAATTTTAAGTGTCATACAAGACCTACGATTGACTCATCACCTTCTCCACCACAAAACAAAAAGAAAAAAAAATCAAAGAAGATTCAAGAAGATAATATATCTTCCTCAGATATTGAATCCGATAACGAAAATTTAATACGAACAAATGAAATAATTAAAACTCCTACATTCAATGGTCGACGTATTACTACTTTAACTACAACAGATTCTACAATCAACGTTCCAAGCAGCGTAGAATCGTATCTCAAACAAATGGAGCAGAAGTATTTTATTCCATTACAGCTTTCTCATGAACGAATTGAGAAAATGATAAAAACATTATACAATAATCAATTGAAGATCCAAAAGGTATTGAACAAGAGACAGGTATGGTTTAAAAACGGCAATATTTTGCTTCAACAATTATTTTCATAAAAGTTTGCTAACCTTTTAAACAAGACTATTGTTTATCGGAATCCTTCATAGGTATCTATTGCACTAGATGAACCAGGTGCTGATTCCAATGATGATGTAAATTTTCCATCTAGTTTGGTGAGTACAATATTGTACAATATTTAATTTTGCTTTCATCTTTTTTTTTTTTTATTAATAGATATTTACATCCACTGATGGTATGTCAAGTACTGATTTAATGAAAATTCCAGCCACTAGAGACAAAGCTAATCTTTATGTTACAAATCTCGTTGAAATACTTTATACTATGGATGAACTAGTGGCATTAAAACCAGAAGAAACACATAACGACTATCGATATCAATTGATACGAGGTTAATATTTCAATTATTCTGTATGATATAACTCTATTTCTTTTTTATTTTAGAATCCGTTCGTTGTAAGTTTAAATTAACAAATGATCAATTAGATCAATTATTTAATGATTGGCTTCGTGAAGTTTTTCTTGCAAAACGAAGAGTAGCAGTGAGAAAGCTTAAAATGTCGATGAACAATGAATAGTATTCTTCAATTAATACTGTTCTTAGAACTCGTTTTTTTTATGTATCTGAAATGATATTTGTACTACAAACTGTTTTTTTTTCTTATTGTATTTATTGTGAAATGGTTAATGACGTTAAAGTCATTATTTATTTTTGTTATAATACATATATATATATATGATAAAATAAATTTGATGCTGCGAAAGTCAGCAGATCTCAATTTCAGAACTTTTATAATATCAGATATTGATAAAAGTAAGCATGTATGGAAACAACAAAACACACTAAATGTTATGTCACATAGTGCGTAATATTAATTGATGTTGTCGTTATATCGCACTATAACGGCCATAACGAACTAGAAAAAGGGGTCAGAATGCGATCGCTATAACGACGTTATAACGGCGCTATTTTACCGCTATCGGCGACATGGGAACCAACCATATCACACCGCCTACCAATTGATCAAAATCGAACTTTTGAGTGACGTCTATATATCCAATGATAAACTTGCCGTCTTTTGTGATACCGAAATTAACATTGTGAGTGCCAGGCTTTTGTACGATCTTTCCGTCGCTTATAACATTACCGAGACAATCACCTGTCTTTGTATTGAAGAATCCTGCATTTGTAGAGATGATACATTTTCGTTTCTCGGCAGATTGTCTCGTTAGTGCTGTGCCATTATTACATCCATTCAATGGTTCAAGTATTGAAAAATGTCCTAACGGATTTTCTAATCTATAAAATCTACCATTGATCAACTGATCATCGATATCAATCCCGATTTCTCTTTTGGTGTAACGTGCAAATATTTCATCATACTTAGTGACGTTGTATATCTCGTATGTGATGTTATCGAAGTAGTGAAGATTGTTGGAGTCGTGAAGGTCAATCATTTGTTCGCGGAGTTCGTTGAGAGATTTTTGTGATCCGTGTGCCTTCGTTCCGTAGGGATTAGACAGTATGTCTTCGATTTCACGACATTTTGCAGTGATAAGAATCATCAATGTGAAGTACGCGATGAGCACAAGAGAGCGTGATGTGTGCTGCTGCATTTTATATCCTGAAAAAATAAAATTTTGAACGGTCTTTACTCTATGGTTCCACTACATAGGCTTACGACTTAGCAAAGTAAAAATATTGTATGGTTTTCTTCGTACTCGATCCGAGATTAACTTTCGATAAAAAATATTTTTCACTAAAAGACATGTCACTCGACTCAGTTTTTCATGCTGATCCCGAATATCATATTTATTTTGCTCATTGATGAAAATAAAATGGTCAAAGTTGCGAAATATAAGCCCGGTTTTGTACGATTTTATCATTGATATAGGAAAACTCGATTTTCTCAACAACAAAACGATATTTTGGAAAAAACACTATTAGTTTTTTTTCCATAGGCATGCTGATTATAATCTACTAGGATAATTATCTTTATCTTTTGAGCATAAAAACTAGACAGGTTTGCAATATTCAGTCCATGTTATCAAAATCACGTTTATTCAACTACAGGATAGTTCATAAATATAGATTGATTCATGAAGTCCGATTTGAATTGTTCTTATTATTCTCCTGGATGACAATTGAAAATTATCTATGAAACGCTATACCTGTATTTTTTCAGTTCATAAATAGATCAAATTTCTTTTATCATATAAAAAAAATACTTAACAGTAATATGAACTTGCTTTATCCGTTTGAAAAAAAAAGTTTGAATTAACTTCTAACACTAATAAAAAAAGTCAACCAATTTAATTGAAAGGACACGAAGATATTCAATTTTTTCATCGTAGTACTATCTAAGGACTATCCTATAATATTTTTGTTAATTTGCCGTGGTCGTAGTATTCGTATTTGAGACTATGGCTTCGTCTCGAACTGTATACATCGTCGTTTACCACTGTGCTTCTATAGATGTTTCTAGTTCCTTCACAGTAAATAGTACAAAGATTTTTTTAATTAAATAACACTTATCGTTCATTTGAATGATTTTGAAGATCTAAATAAAAGTAAAAAACAGCTACTTTTATAAAATAATGCTCGCTACTCATGTCGTGCTTTTATTCGCAAAACTGTCGGTATATCGAAGTACTTGTAAGAACTGGCGGTGACGCTTAATGCCTTCAATTCCAACTATAAAAGATTGTAGAGTATCTTCTACTCGAATTCGAATTTATTACTAGAAAGAATTGAAATTCATCGACAAAAACCAGTTTCAAAATAAATTTTTCTAATAAAAGTTTTCTACAGCATTATCTATAATGGAAAACTTATCTGAGAATTGTGATAGATCGAACTTCTGTGCCTAGTACAGGTGGCTCATCAGATGAGTCAACATTAACTGAATTACATCGAAATTTTTTCGATTCTATCTGTTTTTTTAACAGACTTCAAACATATACAATCGTTTTGATACAATACATCAATTGGTTCGAATCACATGGGTATCTACCTTGACGATAAGATGATCTAAATAAAATTATACTTACTGTTCATTGAATTTTACCAGATATTTTACATAGAAGAAAAAAAAATGTTTAATTTATGTTATGATGTTTAGCGTTAAAGTTTGTTGAAAAATCACTGATTAATTGCCAGAAGTGACGCGATTTTGATGACATAGGAGAGATCAGTCTGAGTCAGGGTGATTCTCGTCGAGCTTATCGAGTGAGCGAATGATGACCAAATACACTCAAATATATACAGCTCTAAGTAGGATAGGATAGGGAAAAATCATATCCTTGTAGAGAACGTCACTTAGATCAGTAGCAACATCTTTTTTCGTCTATTACTCTAATATGTGGTTAATCAGGTAGACAACTGGTATCATTATATTTTAATTCATTTGCTTCTTACTTAAATAATTTTAGTGATTCGTCGATTGATTTTTTCAATTTTAAAGCCAAATGTAAATAGTAGTAGTGGCAATAGAATGTAATTAGAGAAAATAGAAAGTGTTGTATTTGTTCTGTTAGAAAATGATCCATTGCATATTCTGTAAGATAGATAAAATTCACGTGAAAGATAAGAAGATCAACAAGAATTACGTCTTTTTTTTTAGTAAGACAAAACAATTATCTTTTCTGTTTCTCAGGTGGAGAAGTTTGTGCTAAACTGCATCCGCAAGTGCTTTGTAGACATAAAAAGACAGATGGATGGTACGATACATACAAACTGTGAAAGCTGAATGATGGAAGAAGGTGTAGATATGGGTTACATGGATTTGTACACCCTCATCTAGTGGCTACGTACTAATGCTAGTGTTCTATTTTAAAAGGCACTAACAATTCCCAGTTTATTCTAATCGAAAAATGAAAAAGCATCTAACACTAGTATTGTAAATCGCTATTGTTTCACTTTCAAATTTTCGTTTAGGTTATGCTATTATTGGACCCTCTAGTCAATAGGCTATAACCTAGTTGATGGGTGTTCCAATATTGTAATTCACATCTTCTATCAAAAAAGAAGACTTTGATCTATACCTGTGATAGTAGAAACATCCCTCGATTGCACTCGTTCACTTACTCTTGTGTTCGGTCCACAATCGCTCTCTCTATACATTATCTACTCATTCGTTCTATCATCTATTCTTTCTCTTTGAATCTGTGTTATCTCTTTCCCTGAATATCGCCTTTCTTTTCGTTTTCTCGTACTATTTAAACTAAGCGAAAGACAATAAAATAAATTCATTCAGCTCAACCATTGAGCAACCCAATAACAACACATATATCAATAATTTTGTTAGGATATAACGAAAGAAATGATACTAAGATACTGGCAATATGTTCGTCATGTTTGCATGTAGTCTTTCTAATAAAAGAAACAAATTGTTTTTATTTTTATTTGAAACTATTCGATGGTTACTATTCAATATCACCTTCACCTCTACTTCTACTTCTACAAACAAGATAGTTGCATTTCATTTCTTTTTATTTGAACGACAAAGTTTACATGAACTACATATTACAAAATTCGTTAATCAGAACTTGTCTAGCTACATAAAACTCGATGAAGAGAATATGGTTTGTGTTCAAACATTTTGATTATTCATTACTAGTTAATGATTGACACCTCTCTAATGCTACTGTTTTTGCTCTATCAACTATCTTCTTTAAATTGACTTGATCAACACTATCTAATTTTTCCAGTAATTGATGATATTTATCTTTGTACATGGGATACACCTCTACAACATAATCGTACAAATCACCAACGAAACTTTTTCGTATTTCTTCGTCTTGAATACATGAACCAGTTTCAATAGTTGCAGTCAGTTGAATGATATTCAAGATAGTTTGTTGATCATCTTCTTCTAAACGACTGATAAGTTCTGTCAATACTTTGTAAACTTCGTCGAAGTCTTCATTTTCAACTTGCCGTTCTGAAGCTATTATATCATCATAATTTTGACCATAATGTGATAGAGAAACAGCAATAAAACCATCGATTTGTAGAATACTATTGAGCAATATAAGTACAGCCAACGTTAATTTTATGATTAGACGCATCATTTTTTCGCTCCTAGTGGAACAAAAATCGAATGATTGTACTCTACATATATATATTGACAGATAATATTTTATGGGTACTATCGATGAATAATATTTGTCTTCTTTCCTTTCATCTTATATCTCCTTTCCCTGCGGAACAAGAATAATGAGATCCAACATCTTCAGATTATGTTTGAATAATAATTATGTCTTTTATTATTACCAATTTCCATAGACACACGTATATTTTTTTAATTTATATGTCAAGTGTTAAAGTTGTCGAATAAAATAAAAAAAAAGAAACGTTTGCCGGAAGGAAAAGATAAGTTCAATCTGCTAGTCTCAACTTGTTCTTTTCAAGGATCAGTTGTCTCAAAGTAATATAGGTGATTAAAGAAAAATAGAGTTGACTTCGCCGATGCATTTCGTGTTATTTATTTAAATACATGAACACTCATTAGGACTCTGCACACTAGAGCAGTGATATTAGAATTGCAGAGGCGGATCCAGAATTTAAGTAAGGAGGCAGCAGTTCCTAAAAGATGCCTTTTGATATAAGATAGTGTGAAGTTTGTTTTAACAAGGGAACTACTCCATCTGATTTTTCACTCTGGAGCGTCTATTTTCTCCATAAGAACTCATCAATGTTGTATTTGTATCAATATTTCTTATAAAAAAAACGTTTCTGAAGCTCAATATATCGAAGTTGAAGATGGGTGAGTGAACAGATGGAAAATCATTCAAAAGATTTCCAGAACATTGGAGAAATTTGCTTTTCTTTCGATTCATCTCTGTGTAAAGAGAAGCAATGTTCAATTCCTGGTTTTATCTGATGTTTTTGATGTCGATAGATGTTATAGTTTTAGCATTTCTCTGCAAGACTATCATTCTCATTAAAAGTGTTCTTTTTCGCATCTCATGCATAATATGAAAATTGCTTTATTTTGTATTTGAGATGTAAAAAAAGAATGTTTTAAGAGTTTACTCTTTTAGTATTCGAGTTTCAGATTAAATGATTGCTGTTGACTAGAGATTCGAAATTTGAATAGATTAGAAACCCTAATTATGCATTTCGAGAGAAATTTTACTTCATAAGCCATTGTGATAAAAGAGAAACGAAATTTTCAAATAGTAGAAAATCCTTGATTTCATAACACATTATCGTTCATATCTGGAGAATGGTTTGGTGTTTTCTTAGTCTCAAAGAGTTCTATGTTCGGAGAAGATATGAATTCAAAAGCAAGGAATCACTTGGAGAAGTTCCCTCATAAGTAAATTAAGCAGGATGTTTTTATACTTATGTTTCTGCGTATCGTAGTAACGTAATAAATCTAAAAACTTATGAATAAACAACTTTTATCAGAACAAAAAATTGAGTATAGTCTAACGAATCAGAAGACGATTACGTTTAGTGAATTCGTCTAAATCGTATAAATTTAAATCGGGATTGAGAAGATGAAAAATGTTAAATTTCATTAGAAACTTATGCCTATGATTTATTTCCATATTCTTGATGTTGCTTACTGTTATTCTCTGAGCTCAATTTTTTGGAACCATTCAATTATGCGAAGACAAATGTTAACTTAAAATAGATATGAATAGGACATTAAGGGAAGTAGCCTGATAAATAATTTAATTCATATTTGAGTGGAATACGTTTAGAGTACTTCGAACTACTCTTTGTTCTTGTTGATTTTTGAACGTGACGAAAGAGAAGCCATTCATCCGCATCAACATCGTCAATTTCATTAGTTAGAAAATAAGTTTATCACCATCCAACATTTTTTGTCGAATTTTGATTCTATCTGTAGCATTGAAATTCTATGAAAAAAAAACGTTCGATGACTACTCGACTTCGTAACACGATGAAATTGCAGACCATATACTTAAAAGTCGTTGAGTCGCAAATAATATGAATGAAAACTCTTTGAATTCTTCGATTTGAAACAAATTAAATAAAGCAATGGTATAAAAACGTATGAATCAATATTGATTCAAGAAGTGAAATGTTCTGTCGAAAAACAAAATAAACTCAGAAATAATTTTAGAAAATTGTAGCAATCTGTTGAAACAATTCTATCGAACCTTGAAAAATGACAAAAAATATCTATATTTAATAAAATATAGCACTCTATAGAGAATTTCACGGCACAGCTTTTGACAAAAAAGATTACCCTATCCAAATTTATCAAAACAACAAAATTTTCGAGATATTATGTAAATACAGCAAAGTAAATAAAACTGTCAAAATTAATGTATATATACGCGTTAATAATGACAAGAATATAATCTTGAATTGTATACAATAATGCGACAATCTTTCAAGCAAAAATTCTATAGAAGCGAACGACACTTGATGTCAAGCTAATACAGTAAACAATGCTGTAACACAGCTTACATGAGGCAAGATAAAATGGTACGATCTCAATCATAGTTTTTCACGCAAGTAGTCCAGAGTTTCCTGATATTTGCGCACTTGAGTATGATCTAGTTCCAATGTTTGACATGCAATGTCGAAAGGACGTTGAGCATGTTCAAAAGCTTCTAGTGTCACTGTCATATTGTGATGATATTGACTAAGCGATAGATCTTTGACATATCTTGACCCTAATAAATAACGAATTTTATTGATATATTGTTATTCTATAGATTTCAGTATGCAATCGAGCAATTTGTTTATGAAGATTTCAAACGAACAAATCGATTTTGATAATAATCTCCAAATCTTGTGTTCTCAACGCTCTATTAAGCAACGAATATATGAAAGATTGATCGAATTTATTCAAATTATTATTGAATGTTCTCGATAGCACAATACTAATTGGCATTGAATCAAGCTTACATTGTCGTGTGTGACGTTTGCATTGATTACAAACGAGTGAAAAATCAGAAAAAAACTTCTTACACTTTTTTCCTATCTTTACGCCAATGCGCATCGAATATAGAATTATCATCACTAGAAAAGATAAAGACAGAATCCAACTGAGAGATATCATGAATAAGTGGTACAATCGTTTAAACGCAAGTAGCTTTGGATAGAATAAGAAAGATTCTCTGATCTTGAATGCCAGTGAGGAAATCAACACATGAATCAGCACCGTGAAATATACGAATAGAATAATAATCGGTATAGTAGCGATGAAACTCAGCCATCGACTCGTTCAAGGATAATGTAGAATTCTGAGAAGCGGAAATTCGCAACCTGAATTTCGACAATCTTTTTATTGTTAAAATTTTGACGGAAATTGGACAAATTGTCGAAGTTATAGAGTTTTATCAATTATTTTGCTGTATTACACTATGACTCATCGGTAAATCAGGTCATACCATACCGTGTAAAAGGATTTCAAGAACTAAAATACCTTTTCTTTTTTACACTGTAAGACTAACTATTGATTTTTTTTGTTCTATACAAATCTCTTATATAAAATTTATTGATTATTATAAATAGAATTTTACAATATCACTTCGATTTTTTTACAACCTGCTTTCATAGTAAGGATTTCGTTCGAGAAAATTGATAATAGCATCGGCTGTTTCTTCAGGTTTATCGACAGTAATGAGATGACCACAATCATCGAAAATTATCAATTCTGATTTGGATAACAATTTCGCCAAATACTGAGCACCTGCTGGATGACATAACTAAAACAAGATAATCTAAAAATTTTGCTTTGCGAAAAAATAATTACTTCACGAACATGTTTTACATAAAAATATTTCGTTTTGAGATATTTATTTTGTATACCAGATCATTAGAAAAAAAAATCTAACTCAAACTCCAATATGAATAAAATTACTTTATCTTCGCGACCCCAAATAATGAATGCTGGACACGTGTGATATTTTAATTGTTTATAGGTTTCTCCAAGATTTGGATAGTCATGTTCAAAGGCAATTTGAAGAACTAAATATCGACTAGAAATAAATCTTCTATGTGCAACATAATTGAGTTATTTACTTCTTTGATATTGATTCACTGTGTGTAAATGTGTTTTAAAATATTTTTTAGTCAGTAATCGTGTTAAACGAATCTTTTTCTCTGATAATGATTTCACGGCAGCATGATATTGTTTAAGTGTTTCAGGTAGAATTGAATGATATGTTCCCGAACGTAATTGTTGAAGCAAATCAGTTTCATATTCTTCACCAGCTATCATAGATCAAGAAATAATATATTTCGATGATGAATTTATTCAGACTTACGAGGAGGAGAAAGTAAACAAATTATGCCTACATCAAATGGATATTTTGTGGCAAACATTGCAACAATTGAACCACCCATTGATTCACCAATAAGACATATGGGTTCGATAAAATGCAGTTTGTCAAAAAACTAATAAATTCAAAAGTAAAAAAAAGAATACATACACGATGTAAAGCAGATAATAAACTCGATAAAGATCGTTCAATACCTGTTTAAGTAGATCTATAACATTTGCACCGATATAATATTCTTCATTAAAACCGATACTTTCGCCGTGACCAGGCAAATCAATAGCAATACAATGATATGTATGTGGAATATGCTGAGTATAAACGAAGATTTTTTTAATCTATATCAAGCGATGAGTTATTAACAAACTTTTATCACAGATAGCCATGTTCGTTTACTAGATGCAAATCCATGTATGAATATTAAACTTGGTTGTCCTGCTACTTTGACACCTTTTTCACAATAACAAATCCTTGCTGTCTCGATATCATTCATTGATAAAAACTGCTTCTTAACACCAGCTTGATGCATACGGATTCTATTGAATAGATTAAATATATCGAATAGTATAGAATATTTCTTACTTAGTATAGATTTCAATAGTCCAATTCGGCCTAGACAAAATATTCACTGATAGTAATATTGAATCGAAAATATCTATAATAACTTACATGGTAGCATGTGTATGAGACGATTAAAACAATTCGAAATGACGCCAATTTATTTCCACGCTTGAATCGGTCGAAATACATAATAATAATAACGTTAAGATTTGACGTAGAAACAGTCACGTTCTATCGATAAATAATCAACATGCGTGTTGATAGTATGACATATGTTCTATTTTTATTTTAATGTTATAATAATAATACGGGGAGATAAAAGTCGTGCACTATTTGATCCCAAGGATGAGTAAACGATAAGTAGGAAAACGAATGACGTTTATATTATTTAAAAATTAGTAGAAAATATCGTCTGAATCTCAGATAGATTGAAACTTTTACTTTATTGGACAGAGATTTCGAAGAAATCTAGTACAAATTCTCATCTGACAAATATGAAACATGAACAAAAACTGAGCCGGACATAAAAAAATAAACCATAGTTTTGAGAGTGAGGATCATGCTATACTTTTCACACTCATGAACAGTTTTACACGATACGAAAGATTAAGGAGAAAGAAAAAGATCAATTCCATTGTTAATCGATCGATTAGAAAAAGAAACTTTTTTCGATATCGATCAGACAAAACTAAATTTGATCAATTAGAAATAAACAAATGATTTCATTTATTCAGATTAATAGAAAATTTTATTTGAACTTACTCAATAGAACAATGTTCAACAATTCTAATAATTGATAGATTTCTTAACAGAAAATAAGGAAGATTTTAGAAGAAACAACTACTAATTAAATAAATAGATCTTATGAAAGAACTCTCTTACTCAATATGATCAGATCATTCCAGTAAACGATAAACTTTTGAGTTCTTTCCTGTGAGCTTTTAATCGAAAGAATAATTAATAAATTGCAAAGAAATGTAACGAATGATAATCAAATGTTGATGTCTTTATTATTCTTTTAGATAATCAATGAAGAAAAAGCTCATCATTTCAAGGATCATCATTAGTTCAAAGATATCTTCATCTCTTTTTCTCTCCTCGATTTGTCTTAAAAGTTGAACAAGTTTCTTTTCTAAAGTAGATAATCATTTTTTCTTCATGTCAATTTCCTATTCTAAATATTGAAAATCAAAGTCGATTCAATGAATATCATCAAGATTTGTCACTTATTTGTGATCGTCAATGAAAAATCAGTCATTTTTCATATCAGAAACAATCATTTCTCAAATCTCAATTCTTTTATCATTCGCATGCATTTTTGATAATCCTTAAATAATATCAAAATAAAGATCAACGTTGAAATTATTTAACAATGTTTTATCTTGCTATTTGTATATTGTTATTTCTTATATCTTCGAAATTGTGCCTTCTTGATTGCAGACAATTTTTCTTAATTGGAGGAGAAAATGTCCGCAAAGTAGAATCGAAGTAGAAAGATAAAAATGTCTGCATTATGAAAACAAGCAAAAAATAGAAATAGTAAGATAATTAATCCAGGCAGCTGAATTCAAGAGAGGGCAAATCGACAATATTTTCATGTTACCAGTATTACCACCTGGTGAAATTAATAAGGCTTTTTGTGTTATTATTGAAGACTCAAGCAATAAACATGAATAATTTTTTAAATTAACAGATTATACATGACACAGATCATCGTCGTACAAAAATAGTTAAATCAGAATGATTCCATTCAAATTTTGACTTGTGGGCTTCTATTAAATAACGAATATTTAAAATAATTTTATTCCTGACTTTCTATTTCTTTGAATAAAATTGTTTTTCAAAAAATATTTAAATCGAATTCAAATTGAAGAATGTGAAGTAGATGAAAGTAGTTTTTTGATTTAAAAAGAATCAACATCTATTTTTTACAGAGAATATTTTTTCTCGTCGAAATTCAGCTTTTAGTCTAAAATTTATTTTAAAGGTTACATAGTAATAAAATAATGTTGGTTTTCTGAATATGTCACAAGGCTGAATAACATCCTACTTTTTCAATTAATTAACTGAACACTCTTTGATGGACATGTCGTTTTCGTTTTGGGTGTTAGTGTGGATTTAGATAAAACGAATACCTACACCCTCAGTTTTATGCTTTTCAATTTTCGGATATAGCACATCTTGAATTTCTACTGCTTTTTTTCACTAATTCTTCGTCTTGTTCCATGCACTCTAGTACATTCAAAGTTATTGCCCTTAAAATAACACATGTATATGCCAACTTTTTCCACTCATTTAAAATCTAATCATTTATCCATGTTGTATTGATTAATGATGAGTCAAACTTGTCGGATAAGATGCATTTGTTTGATAAAATTAATTGTTATCATCAAAGAACATAACTGATAATGTCGCAAGCAACTCCTAATTAAAGAGAACGAACAGCTGCCTATATCAAGAAGAAAATAGTTAAATGAAAGTTTCATGCAGAATAACATATGATCTGTATATGCTGCTGAATGAGAACAATCCAATGTGAGACAATGAACTTCAGGTCGTTCGATTGAACTCCTTCGTTTCATGACAATATTCATTGTCATACCAAAGGGAAAGACACATTAATTTAGGAAAACATGTTTCAAAATTGTTGATTAAGTCTAATTTTTGAAAGTTAAAATGTTTCAATGTGATAATACTGATTGTTTTGTATACGATGTGGTATTCAGATATAACGAAACAATTTGTTCAGCATTGAATTTTCGAAGAATCAACTTAATAAATGCATCAGAAGATTGACAAATCTCTACTTTTCTTTCATATTGATGTAGTGTAGGAAGAATATTAGTGGAAAATAGATTGATTCTATCGTTTAATGTCAGATATTTCAGTAATTCAAAAACACAATATCCCAACAAAGACGAATCTTGGGAATAATGAGATCAAAAGGCTGAAATGAAATGGATAACAAAAAAAAACTTCTTCATAGTTTATTCAATTTCTGAGAAATGTTTTTGTTTGAAAATTCAATCAGATTGAATAAATAACTCAAACAAAAAATTACTAGACTTTGTTCATTGTCATCAAGTTCTTCTTTGAATATAAGCAATTCATAGAGTACATTTTCTCGACTAGATTTTTCTAGAGTTTGTATCAAAGTATCATCTTCCAACAATGTTTTGACCTGATATTCGGATATGAATGAATCATATTGTCTTTCAACAACTAGTCGCATACTTACGATGAACATAGAATACTGTCTGTTTCATGTCAAAGCTGAGAGAGAGTGTAGGTGGGTGTGTGAGAATATTGATTTCTTCCATACCCACATCCTTCGACAGCATGCATTTGTTTAAGAAGAGATAAATAGGGTGGGTGTGGGTTTGGGTATGAGTATAGGTGTGGGTGTGCGTGTGGACTGAAGTTCCACAAGCACCTTCACCCACACTCACACTACCCATCCACACCCCATATACACTCACACCCACACCATCCACTCACACACCCACACCCTCGAGAGATGATATATGAACTTAATTATGACGTTTTGAATGATTAATTCTGGTAGTGGTTTAGGGTGGGTATGGGTGTAGCATGGCTAAAACACCCACACCCACATCGATACTCACACTCATACCCTCAATGCGTTACTTATCAGGTGTCTTTATTTATCTGAAATAACAAAGAAGAAAAGAATACCAGCTAGATAATGTTTGAAAAGATATTGTTACTCATCTTTATCTCCCTTTTTTATCAGTTGCATAGTGTATATGTCGTTGAGAACAGAGAATCTGAAGGGAACAGTGTTCGCTATAGTCTTATTTACACCTTTTTGCCTTCTTCATACGCAGAAACATTCCACATCTCGCACAAATCTCATTTCAGTTTTAATATGACAGCAAAATATCCGAATAACCAAAAGAAATCTATTTCCGAGAGGTTCGTCGATGTGAAGGGTGTGGGTGTGGGGTGTGGATGTGAATGAGCGTAGAGGCGTGTCAAACCCAAACTCTGGGTTTGACTGAGTTTTATTGGGTTTGACTATGTTTGGGTTTGGGTTTGATAAGGTTTCACTAAGGTATGGCTGGGTTTGGGTTTGATGTATATCACATAAAGATTAAATTTTTGTGGATGTTTGTAAAACAAGCGAACAACACCCACGAACACCCTTAAATCGAGAGCTGATATTATCAGTAGATAGCGCTCGCCAAGTTGACTCCACGAATACCCACGAACACCCATATCATTTGACAGTGAGTAGCCCTACTAGAGTTAGGTACATACCCAAAATGTCGGCCTTTTATGTGCTTGCATAAAGAAAATAACAGGGATCGACCTTTTCAATTTTAAACCTAGTAATTGAATTCTGAATGTATGAGCGAAATTAAAGTATGAGGCTTAAAATTGAAAAGGTCGATCCCTGCTATTTTTTTATGAGAGCACATAAAAGGCTGAAATTTTGGGCATGTACCTAATTCGAGTAGGGCTACTCACTGTCAAATGATTCGGGTGTTCGTTGATTAAAAAAATCAGTGTACATTGGAAATTTTTTTTATTGTTCAATCGTTT